ACACACACACACACACACACACACAGAGTCAGTTAATCAACGTTCATGATTCCTCATCTCCTTTTATTCCCCCATATCTAATACTTCTTGTACAAGGAACTTATTTTGCATGGCTCAGAAAATAGCGCCTTACAGCCCCATGTCCCTTTAATTTATTTCACAGTATTTTCCAGCATAAGTGATGGAGAAGCTCATAAATGTCTTAATGCAAACACAGATTGAAAGACTAGAAAATAAGAAAGGACCCAAATCAGGTCTAGTATCAAATAACAGTTGGAGTTAAAATGTGCAAATGAAGTGTGCAATCTTGCATACAGGCAACAACATCTGAAAATATGATGTTAGTTTTACACAATGCTAAAATTTACTAGAAGTTCTTCCTAATTACATTTAACGGGCAACCCCAAACAGAAGTGCAAAAGATGCTACTGAGCAAAAAAAGTTAAATAAGCCAGGTAGAACACGTCTTGATTTAAAAAGAGGGGAAAAAAGGAAACTATACACACTACCCAGGTAACTTACATAAATTAGCTAATAAAAGCATATTCTTCTCTGATCCCCAAGATCATCCTAATATCAATTCAGTTCTTGACAAAATACTACAAAATGAAGCATTCTGACAATATAGTACTCCCATAGCAAGAATACTTATCAGAATAAGCAAACACAGAAGATAGAATCTGAAGGGATTTTGAATTAAGTTTCTAAACAGAATTATCATAATGTGAAGAAAAATCATTTGCATATAGTAAGATAACTCATTAGGGTGGGATTTAAACCATCACTCTGCAAACTACCTTTTTTAAAGGCATATCCTACTATCCTCTTAGCTTTTCTAAATAAGGTAGTATGGTCTAGGCATGGAAGATATAAACTCTTCAATATTTCATGTATATGCCATTTGTACTTGGGATTTAGCCTTCATAATGTCTGTGTAGAGTCTGAAACCTTGGACATATATATATCTTCCTATGCCTCAACTTTAAAAACATAAGGTGTTTTTACCTTGTCATCTTCCTCACATTACATTATTTAAAAAATATAAAAGTTCTTGAAAAGAGTTAACTGCCTTATCATAATGCATCCTACAAACTATTCTCCTATTGATTTGTAAAAGACTTATGCATCATTCCCCAGAATGGTGAAGAAAATTACCTATTATTCTGGTTTATAAATATACTTTATAAATAAAACTCTTCCCTGGCAATATAAGTAGTATTAGGATGAAACCAAAACAATTTCTCTCTCTAATTTGATGCTTTCATCTCTAAAACTTACTAGTATCTCAGTATAACTTCCTGAAACAAGATCTTGCAAAAAACCAAGAAAGAGCTACTGTATCCACAACTGTTACAAATGATTTAAGATTAGATGCTATGAGCAAATGTATATTTAGAATGGAGAAATTGATTAAAAACACTACCTGACATTTTTTATAGTCCCATCACCATGGAATTTCTCAAGATTATTTTAACACGTGTTTCTAGAAAGATACTGTACCTATTTAACAGTTATAGTATGTATTTACTTCTGCTGTTCATTTAATAAAAGTTACTGAAAAAATGGAGGCAGTGAATATGTGGCATACCTATCTCAGCTCTCACTTGGAAGCTGCTTGTAACGCAACAAGCCAGTGTGAAAATTAACATATGCAGAAACGTACAACATGCTAACTGAAGATTGTCCCTTAAGAGTGGACTATGCTATCAGGCTCAGCAAAGGAATCCCAGTGCTGTTAAAAGCTCTTGATGTGCTGACCTGCATATGCTGACACATCTGCAGGCATAAGTTAAAGCAGAATAACCAAAAGCATACCCTGCTGAGTTTCCACTTCAGTTCTTAGCTGTAGAAGCTCTACTTCTTTGGACTGCAATTGCTCGTTCAAGGTTTTCAAGGATTCTGCGTTCTCTTTTACCTAGTTCAAGAAAAGCTTGTCAAGACTTGTGATACAGAGTCTATCAGTTCCGTTTCTTTACAGCAAACATTTAAAATACCCGAATGCTGTTTTTGGACTGGTTGCAATGTAAAATCTAGGTCAACAAGAAAAAAGGTACATGCAATATAAAGCCATTCAGTTTTCATTTGTATGCATGACTACACCAAAGTGCATTTGACATTGCTATAAAAGTCTAAACAAGTGACAACATGCAAGTTTGCAACAAATAAAAAGAATCCAAAACTCCCTCTATTATATATTTACTGCTAGCACTTTATTGTATGTCATACATTAATTAACTCATTACCTAAACGGACATACCATTTTATCCAGTTTGCTTTTCAAATTCTCCCTGTCAATGCAGGCTTCTCGATAGGCCTGATAGGCCTTGTTTACTTGCTCACATCCAACTGAGCGGGTTTCTTCTTCCAATCGGGAACCAAGGAGCTAAAGTTTAAGAAGCAAAAGAAATAATCTTTATCTGAATACTTTAACATTCCGCATTTACCTAGCAAACCATCGTTATATATTAAAACTAAAGGCATAGTTTCATGTTATGGGCCGCTAACTCATGTCATATTTTTTTGTGAAACAAAAACTGTAGAGAGCAACTGTTTATCTAGTCTTATCTATTCACACTAGTCTCAGGCCAGCCCCTTCCATGCCAAGAATGCAGCTGCTGAGTCAGCAGGCAAAGCAATTGAGTTTATTGATAGGAAAAGAGAGGGAGAAAGAGCTTATGCATGCGCAAGTACATACAAGCTGGAAGGTCAGGGTGTAGAAATCTATTTATAACAATCTCAAAATACAAGGTTTACAGGCCAGTTATCAGTCTCTTGAACTTTCAAAGAAGCATGTGCTCTAGAAGTACAAACTGGGCACAGAAGCACTGATAATTTCGTAAAAGCACTTAACAGGAGGAGAACTTGGTTTGCAAGAAAACAACATCCAGATAACTGAATAGATTCTTTGGCCTGTAATTAAAGTTAGATGAGATGATAATAAGGGTCCCTTTGGGATCTTAAAAATCTATTAAAAGATGATAACTGGGTTAAGTACTGGACAGCTCTCTCCTTAGGGAAAAAATTCCAAAAAAATCAGAATATTTATTTTCTCATGTTTAGATTATTTGGGGAAATAACCTATACTAATACTGTCCTTGCTGTGACAAGAGGTAGCTGATCTGTCAATTCAACAGTTAACTAAGATTGCACACACCCATTAATTACTTTGTGGTAGCTATTTTCTGGGTCAATCCAACCAATGTGGATATGTGCACATACCTAGATGGCTATTACTCAAGGATTCAAGAGTTTACTGTTAGGTACTCAAAATACTGAAGATTAAGTTGCAAATATGGATAGCATTAATCTTGCTTTAAAACAGAATTGTGTATGCGTGCAACTCAAGCCCAGAACAGCCCTGCAAGAATAGCTTTACATAAAACATTTTGTATCATACTACCAGGAGCATACCTAAACATAACTGTCTTTAAAACAGACTCTTCATATGCATGTAAAAAATTCTATATTGGGTTTTCATTTTCCCCGAACTAAAATGATTGTAAAGTCACTCAAAACAAACTAGTGACATTTTATGAACTGTTCCAACTCTTAAATGATTTCAGACTAGCACCCCAGGGCTGTAAAACCAAAAAATACAGATATCTATTTTCGACTTATTGGTAGAAGCTCTCAAGAACAGGTGTTAAATTTGACATATTAGTTCTCTGAAGTTGCACATTCTAGAGTATTTGTTCAAACTTAGCAATTTGAAGGTAAACTTGGATTCAAGTTTTCCTCCTCCTGACCCGTGTCAGAAGGTAATGGGAAAGCAATCACATGCAAGAAACTTCTCCCCATGCTTTTTTATTTTGCCTGTTTTATAACTTTATAGTGGACAATGCATTTAAATGTTTCTATTCTTTCAATTGCTTAAGTACACTCTAATTCTTCATCAATAAAACACACTTCACCCAGACCTTTAAGAAAGGTATCTAAATGTAAGTACAGTAAAAATTGCCTTAACCAGCACTTTACAAGCTGGCATGCTGCATTAACTGGCACACCGGCTTGTAAAGTGAAAGTGAAACCTGAAGTGCCCACTGTGGCACTTCGGTTTTGCCGAGTCCCCACGGCCCAGGGCAAAGCAGCCTGCACAGCCGAGCCCTCAAGGCCTGGGGCATGGCAGCCTGCGTGGGGCCCACCCCCCTTGTCCCTCGGGGCCTGTGGGAGGGTTGGCGACGCCACGGATGTGGCGGGAGAAGCAGCGGCCCAAACAGGCAAAGACTCCTGTTCAGGCCTCTCAATTAACCAGCATATTTTGTTATCTGCCCCCCCACATTCCCCATGGATTTATTTATATAAATCTATAAATAAACTACTTTAACCATACTTGTCCCCAAACTTTGAAATTTAAAACTCAAAGACAAAGGGATGACAGAATATTTCTCACCATTCAGTTATCCTAGCCACCAAAATAGATTGGGCGCATCCAAACGAGCGGAGCCATGCGGTATGTGGCACCACAAAGAGGGCTGCAGCACCACATACTGCACAATCTGGTGTTCTCTGCACTACAAGGATGCACTGCCCATACATGCACTGCTCCGCATTTTTTCTCCGTGGATTTTTTGACCCCTGGATATCCAGGGTCCCCCCTGCTCCCCCAGGGGTACGTGCAGCAGAGAGCCAGCCCCACCTACACGAGCCCGCATTAGAAAGGAGCGGGGTGGAGCTGGGCTTCTCTCCACTGCAGCAGCAGCAGCTGCCTCCTGCCGGGGGGGGGCCGCAGCGGCGGGGCAGGGTCTGTGGACCCAGGTCCCTGGCCCTGCAGCCCTGGCAGCTAGAGGCCCCCTCCTCTGGAAGGGGTGGGGGGCCACTGAGAAACACAAACGTGACTGGGAGGGTTGTGGGGGGAAGGAGGGGGAGTAAAGGGCCTTTCATTTTAATCACAGATTTCATGGTTTTTGTCAGAGAAAACCAGGATCCCTGCTTGTTAGGCAGATGTTTCCAAGGCCCAGATTTTATGGCTAAGGGACAGATAAACCATGCCAAGGCTTCTTTGGAGCACAAACTTATAAACCTAAATTGGAGCTAGACTTCCCCAATTTAGACTGGAAAAAAATTGGAAAACCCAAGAAAAATGTACACTTGGAGTAGCTTCAGAAGGCGAGCATCGGCTCCCCTTCCCGCTTTGAAGCCTATCCAAGTCTCCCGCAAACCAGAAGCATCTCCCACAAACCAGAAGGTAATAATAAATGACCTCCCTCATCTACCTCATGCTGGTTAGAAGGAAGCAAGAAAGCACAACTGAAATGAAAAGACTAGGGGTATAGACTATAGACAGATGTAACAATTGTAACAATATGAAAAGATACTGATCTGTTCTGATGCAACTTTTGTGTGTGCATTTTTCTGTAGAGATACAGGCAGAGCAAAACTGTTCCAACTTCAGTCTGCTTCATTCAGGGTTAATTTAATTAATTTTTAATATAGCAGGATCATACAGATGTAACAGCTACATCACAACAGTTGCTGTGTGCTCTCAGGCAGCAGCTCCTCTCCCCTTTTAAAGTAGCAAAAGTTTGTCCATTCTCTACAAATCAAGGAGAACTAGACTGCATCAGAGAAAAGTAAAAGATATCTATTTAGGGACTAAGCATACTAAAATCTTACTATGAAATAGTATTCTTATCTAAAGAATTAAGGGTTAATTGTATTCCAACATGACTCATCCATTTCATTATTCATTCAAAATATCAAGGACAAATTAGTCTCATCATTACAAGGAAATAGGTGCAATATTTTTTACCTTTTCTTCTAAGACTCTTACTCTTTTTTTTAATACTGAGTTCTCCTTCTCAGTCTCCTTTAGTCGTTTCTTGATATCTTCATAAGCAGTAACAAGGGCAAAATGCGAAGCAACAGACTCATCTCCCGTATACACTGAAATAGGAATATCTGCATCTCTTCTATGAGCACTGTCTGCTTTTTCATGTTTCAAAATATATATGTCATCTTCTCCTGGCTCATCCATGACAGCTGTTTTAGAGAGAGAGAGAGATAATACTGTTAAATTCTCACCAAGATACACACATCAAAAGCAGCAACAGGTTAGAAGCCCAAAGGTTTCTGCAAGATATTTTTTGTTTAAGTCTTGTCTTGTTACTTATCATGACACCTTATATTTAGAGAGAA